CACCCCCCCACCCTCCATCCTCTGCTGATCAGGAATAATTTATCAGTTAACTTCATTGACACTCCAGGTAGCTGCTCAGGAACCCTCACTGCAAGGCTGTCCTGTATAATCCTTGCAGGAGAACTCCCAGCACTGAGCAGTCACTGTGGAAGTACTCAATTGTGATCAGTGTTTAATTAAAAAAAAAAAAAAAAGGTATCTGAGGCCATTTGGAGTTTTGGCTAGTGTATGCAACTGTCAAAGTTACAAACACAGCCACTAAATACAATTATTTCTGTCATGAGCCTTTTTCCAGGGTTATCTGGGTCTTGGCATGGTAGTTGGATTTCCTTCTTAAGAAGCTGAAGTGGCCTACAGCAGCCGCATGCTGTTGTGACCACCATCTTCTCGACATTCAACCTGTTTGGAGGAGAGGGAGGATTAGTATACAGCACTTTAGGCTTGCAACTTTTCAAGTATTTGAACTTTTTTTTTTTTTCCTAATAGTAGAACATTTAGAGGAAAGAGCACAACCTTTAATGTTCTCTCAACTACAGAACTACAAACAGTGCAGCAACTGAGTATTTTAAGTTCTCATGATGACTCCTGCAGTTCAGGTGTACTGAGCTGCTGCTTTCCTTTTTAAGACTGAATTTTCAAAGGGCTTTTAGCTATTGTTTAGCTATATTTTGCTATTATTTAGCTATTCCTCAGACCTCACTGGAAAACTAATAGTATTTAGTTTCCCCATTCTCCTTTTGCAATTCTGGAAATCATAAAATAGTTACCTTATGATATATATATTTATATAAATATATTTATTTAAAAGTTTGTAAAGCTGTGCACCATGCTACTTACAGTTTGCAAAAGGTTTCTAGTATGACCTGTTAATAAGGATGCTAAATTTTACAGGTTCCTTTTGCACAATTGATGGAGGAAGTAAGTTCCCTTTCTTCCTCGGAACTACGAGCACCAGAGTCAACTGATGCCTGCGTAATGTCAGCTCTGGGCTCTGAGGTCATTTAATAAAGTAGTAGTAGACTTGCACATACCTTGATGAATTAATAGGAATAAAGCACAGATTGGTGAAGTAATAACTTGAATAACCAGGTGAGACTAGATTCTCTTCTGATAATATTGTTGTTCTGTTAGTGTTGCTTTTCTCGCCCTGTTCAGCCAACTGCTGCTGGTCTTTTTTTTTTTTTTTTTTTTTTTTTTTTTTGTCACTGGGAAGTTACATAAATGTAGGCTAGAATTCAGCCATGAGAACAAGAGTTACAAGAAAAAATATTTTTGTAAAAATCTCTATAAAGGGGAGACAAGTCTGCTTGGTTTTAGTTAAATCTGGTTTTTAACCACAACTTTTTTGGTGACTCTGGTGAACCTTAGTAACTTTAAAAATCTTCCTCCAGGCTTCACACCCCTTTTGAAAACTCAGAATTCAAAGTCAGTCACTTGGTTTTGAAAATGCTGAGGCACACCTGAACTCCCTTTGAAGGGATAATTTGTAGCCTCAGGATTAATTTAGATTAGTTGTTGTAAAAGTAATGAACATTGCTTGAACATTGTATTTGCTTGGATTGTTGGGAGTACAACAATTTACATTTTTTCCCCAGATAGCTGTGAACTCTGTAACACTGCTGCAGTGAGTTTAGTTTTATTTGAAGCCTTGATTCCCTGTGTGAATAGTCTCCCAGTGAGCAAGCAGAACTGCACAGACTGAAACAGCACACTTGTAACTACAAAATATCCTTGAATGATGCTATTAGAAGAACATTATAAGGCAACTGAAGTGACTTCATGTATTCAGGTCTAATAAATTTCTTATTTTGCTGTCTTGACTATTTGGAAAAAAATTATTTGTAGTCTAAGTGATGTTTCCATCTTAAAAAACAAAACCACAAGAAAAGCAACAGCAACAACAAAACAAGAAAAAACTCCAACAAAACAACAGAAAACACCCCAAACTGCATCACTGATGTATGTTCTTTTAAAATCTTAAGGAAGTGAGATAACATTCTTTGTTCAAACTGTAAATCCATATGAACTAAATTACCTTCTTAGCATTGTTTCTAGTTAGCTGGCTTATACTGTAATGTTGTATTGCTGGGTAGATGCCAACCATATTTTTCTCCCTGAGTTATAGAGGACTGACTGGTAGTTAACAAATATCACTACTTGAGAGATGACCAAGTAAGAAAAAGAAACAACTTCAGTACTATACATTCTCAACTATCCTTACTTTGTTGAAGATGGACATGATCCTTCACATTGGCTTAAAGTGACATTTGTAGAACAGCCTTTGTAAGTTATGTTTTCTTCATACTTGAGCTCTCTGCAACGCTCTGTCAAATGTAAAAAAAAAAAATCGTAGCAGAAATTTTTCTTACTCCTCTCAAGGGACCTTTGCTGGATGCCAAAAGCCTCCATACTTGGTTTCGTGGAAAACCATTCCTATTGCATGAGTCAGTTAACAAGTCACAAGTGAGTAAGACAGCAAGAGAAGGTTTTAAACTAGGCACTGAAGATGTTTGAGATAGTTGCCCTGGAGGACAACTATGAAAATGCAAGTTACTGGAATTAAAAATGAGAAAAAAAAAAGTTTCTGTTAAGAATATAGTGCTAATTCAGTCCAGCAGGGCAAAACACTAATCCACCGCTGAGAACACAGTGATGCCAATCAACCAACCAGCTGGCTAATTCTGGTGGAATTATTTCTGGTTGACAAACTTTTAATAGATTTTACTTAATTGAAAAATGCTTCATTTACTCATCTTAAGGATTGATTGATTTATAGGCAGCCAGGAGTTCAACTTAAATGCCTGCCTGAAGTCTGTCTTTCCTTACTAGATAGAATGTGTAATGCTGCATAGCAGGTAATGATTACATATATCGATCTTGCATTTTCTCCTGACTTGAAGCAAGACACTAAGCACTTTATGAAGCATAAAGCTGACTGAAAACACAGGCTTTCCAACAAGCTTAAAGACTGATTTTTGAAATTTATATTAAGGAGAACAAAAGCGTTGAATACTGTGAAGGCAATTTATGCATCTCTTGTGCTGCTCCTGTACAACGTGATTTTGAGCACATTCAGGTTCCCTGCTTGAAGAAAGGTTATGGATGAAACCTGCACATTGTTGCAGGGAAGGCTCAGTTAATATTGTAGTAAGAATTAGGGAATTTGTCATTGGAAAAAAAGCAGCTAATAATGACATTTGTATCTCATAAATGAAAAGCTAGGAGCTAGGCTAGTATTTACCTTTTCTTTCTGGACTGAAAGGTATTGTAAATATTCTGCAAGACTAAAAAGTACCAGAATTGCTCAATTCAGGGCTGAAAAAATGTGCAGAGAAAGAAGTTCTCAACTTCATGAAATAAATACTGGGAGGTACTGCCTGTTAACTCCAAGGAACAGACCTGGTAATGGTATAGTTGGGAAGATAGTGTTCTGAAGCACTTCTCTTAAAAAAAAAGAATGCAAACAGAATGTAAAGCAGGCACCAAAAGTTTAATTATACTGGGGAGAAATCCTTCTGCTTATGAGAGTTGCTACTTGGATTCCCATTCTGTGAGGTGCAAATTATGAGGATGCAGGGAAAGCAGGATCAAAGGGAGTGGGGTAATAGAACGAATCCCATCTCCTTGAGTCAAACTATCATTTCCTGCTCATGCAAGCAGTCAATTTGAGCCTTCTTTCTGCTGAAAAACCTGAAACCAATGTCTATGTACTGCATTACTTGTGTAACAGTGGGAGGAAAGACAGACCCTGCATTCAGTTGCTTGCTCTGCAGGTAGGTCCTGCTGTGCCTTGTGGCTGAGCTGACTGACCTGTACAAGCTGCACTCTGCCAACAGGTTAGCAGTGAAAACAGAGATGAAAGGTTCTCCTGCAGACGACTATACCCACTCATATATCGATTATATATTGATTCTTACATCACCATTTCAGAGTAGTAGTTAACCACAAACACAGTTTCCTTAGTTGACTATTTAGGACCCTTTGTGTAAATCAGTCTCCTGGAGTAAGACTCAGTAGTGTGGTCTTCCACTTTATTCATTTTTTATTGCTATTAGAGATGTTTCTGATTCAGATGGTCTGATTGTAATGATGGAACGGAGGATTTTGTGTGAAGATTCACAACAACTAAGGAAATAGCATATAGGCCTCGAAAAATTTTGAACACGTGCTTCAAAGTTCAGAAGATGCAAATACTTATAATCTAATTACTAAGCAGGCCTGTTAGGATGCTGTATACCCCTCCTAAATCTTAAAAAAAGATAAGGCAAGTGACTTGTTGGAGATGAGGTTGTACTTTCTTTAGGAATTAAACACAGAAAAGGAGAACAGTGAAACTGGTATATGACTCAAGAAGGCAATAGGAAAGGAGGCAGTATGATATGGATAAAGTACATTTTCCAGATAGTTTCTCCTTTGTATATTGAATTCTCCCAAAAGAGAATGCAAAGTAGCTGAAATTGAGATGTTAACTCTTCCCTGGGTACTCAAACAGTGTTTGAAACAAACATACAAAAAAGAATTACACAGGAAATTCACCTTCCATTCACAGATTGAATGGTACATATCTGGTTTATTCTTAGAAGGGTTAATTGATATCATAGGAATTGTGGAATAAAAACTGTCTGCCTCACTGTTAATAACTAGAACTAGAAACAGGGCTCTGCTACCTATACATAGAAAGGTTAAAAATGTATAGTCTCTCTTGTGCATCCATGACAGTGTTCCTGACTCCTGTACTGTGGATTCTAAAGTAGGATGGTTCCATTTAAAACCAGAAGAGAGGATGGTGTTTTGTGTGCTTCCGTTCACATGAAATTGTGCAGAAATTGTATGTAGAATGTGCAGTTCCCTCCGTCAGAACATACTAGCTTTTAATTACACATATCAGCCAAAAAACATCACTCTACCTTGAAAACTGAGAAAACAGTATCCTACAGAAAAGATACCCAAAAATGATCAAGTATGCAGAAAGTATACAAGAGCTAAGAGGAGGACTACAGGGTAAGTCAAGAGGTAGCCCATCCAAATAAAATATAATTCCTTACACTGCTTAACTAGAATTTTTAGATTAAAACCCAAACAGTTTTGTGAATCTCCTGGTACACATCCTGTCAGCCTCCTTAACTCACACATTTTAATGTTTACATTAGTATGTAGCAGGGAACCTGTTCTCCGAAATCTTTGATTTCATAATGACTGCTCTACAAAAATTAACAGCAGAAAGGAAAAAAAGAAAAGATGGGGGCAATGTGTACAAATGGTATGAATGTAAGTTCATACACCCATTAAAGATGTGCTAATGACAAAAATATGATATAGGAAACTGTATGGATATACTTTACCTTGTGGCACAGTTAATGGTACAATGGAAGACAAGGATGTTGAAAGTCTAGAGGTCAAAGGAGATGATGTAGTGCGAGTAGTGGTTAATGTTGTTGTTTGCAAAGAAGTTCTTTCCACTGACTCTGTAGAAGCACTAGTGATAGCACTTGGAGCAAAAGTAATGGTTGTAGATAAAACAGTGGGGATAAAAACTGGAGTGGACTTGGAGATACTGGTAGGAACTACTGATGAAGATGTTTTTCCATGTGGAGTAAATGTTGTATTTTGTAAAGAGAAATATGTAGTACTCTCAGCAGACCTAAAAGGTGAAGTAGTGAGGGATATAGACAAAGGCTTGTGGCTGGAGGTTGTGGCCGCTGTGGAGGAGAGTGTGGAAGTGGCGGGAGATGTCAGGCGGGTGCTGAGCGGGCTGCTGGGGGCAGGCGGAGAGCTGGGGCTTGGAGCCGTCGTTGTGAGAGGGACTTCTGTGCTGGTGGCGGGGCTGGCCTCTCTGGAGACAGAGGTCTTGGAGGTGCTGGTGGCGGAGGTGGCGGCGCTGGTCTTCTGCGTGGTCAGAGGCGGCGCGATGTGTGGCACGGTTGTCTCTTTGTGTGTGAAGGCTGCCGGAGGAGAGCACAGGTTGACTGAGGGTGTTTAGGCCAAGAAGGGAGGGCAAAGGAGGTGGGTAGAATCCCTGGGGTGGGGCCTCGAGCAAAAGAAGCAAAAGAAGCAGCCATGTATCTCCCTAAGTCTCGCCGAGTGAGAGAGAGGATTGGGCTTCTGACTGCTTCCCTAAGGCTCCCCGTCCTGCTGAGATGCCATCGGGGCCATTGTGTGTGTCAGTGGGCAGTGGGGTGGCCCTGTCCGGACGCTCAGCTCCCACACAGCCCCTCGCTGGTCTGCCCTTGCCTCAGCAGGAAGGGGCAGGAAACAGGAAGTGCAAAAGCTGAGAAAACCCAACAAGTCAGGAGAGAGACGTCTTCCAGAACTGAAGAAACGCAAAGGAAAACAACTCAAAGCTCACCCATGAGATGTGAAAGGAGTCATAAACTCCCGCTGGTGGCCAATGGCTGGGCGTTCTGTGAGTAGTGGCTACTTGGGAAAAACTCCCCGCGAAAATCCCCTCGTTTTACTGTTCAGCAAAACATTCTGTGGTACAGAGCATGTCCTTGGTCTCTCCCTTTGGGTCACTCTCCTGGCTGTGTCACTAAGCCACCCCTTGCCCACTCGCAGACAGGCAGAAGGAGAAAGAGGGAAGGCCTGGATGCTGTGCTAGCGCTCCTCAGCCATAGCTAAAGCACTTGTGTGCTCTCAGCACTGGATGGAGCACACATCTAAAACAGAGCACTGTGAGCCTTTCTAGGAACAGTAATTTGGTCACAACCAGAAGCAGTGCAGAGCCCCAGGCCTGCAGGAGAGCCAGGTGCCCCCAAAAATCCGCAGTGACTGTAAGGTTCTGGGAAGGAAGAGAATGAGAGAAGGAAGGAAGGAAGGAAGAGTTGAAGGCAGGAAGGAATGAAAGGTAAGACATAGGAAGAGCAGGCAGAAGCAGGAGGAAGGACCGGATGGAGCCGTACCGGGGTGTGAGGAGCTCGTCCATGTTGAGGACACAGTTGAGGAGGGAGAAGAAGCAGTCGAAGGCAGGGGGCTGGTTTTGGCTGTGGAGGGTGCAGAAGACTCTGTGACAGGCAACTCTTTTGGAGCAGCGGTTCTCGTGGCAGAAGGCTTGGTCCTTAGGGCTGTAGGTGTAGGCTTGGGGCTGGAGGTTGTGGCCGCTGTGGAGGAGAGCGTGGAAGTGGCGGGAGATGTCAGGCGGGTGCTGAGCGGGCTGCTGGGGGCAGGCGGAGAGCTGGGGCTTGGAGCCGTCGTTGTGAGAGGGACTTCTGTGCTGGTGGCTGGGCTGGCCTCTCTGGAGACAGAGGTCTTGGAGGTGCTGGTGGCGGAGGTAGCGGCACTGGTCTTTTGCGTGGTCAGAGGCGGCGCAATGTGTGGCACGGTTGTCTCTTTGTGTGTGAAGGCTGCCGGAGGAAAGCACAGGTTGACTGAGGGTGTCAGGCCAAGAGGGGAAGGCAAAGGAGGTGGCAGAATCCCTGGGATGAGGCCCGGGTCAGAAGAAGCAAAAGAAGCAGCCACGAATCACACTGAGTCTTGCTGAGTGAGAGGATTGGGCTTCTGACTGCTTCCCTAAGCATCCTCATCTTGCTGAGACGCCGTCATGTCGAATGTGTGTGTCAGTGGGCAGTGGGGTGGCCCTGTGTGGACCCTCAGCATCCACACAGCCACTCGCTTGCTTGCCCTCACCTCAGCAGGAAGGGGCAGGGAACAGGAAGTGCAGAACTTGAGAAAACCCGACAGGACAGGAGGGAGACATCATCCAGAAATGAAGAAACACAAGAGAAAGGAACCAACCCCACACATGAGATGCAAAAGAAATCCGTCCCCACCTCCCGCAGGTGGCCAATGCCCAGACTTTCTGTGAGCAATGACTACTTGGGAGAAAATCCCGCTAGCCACCCTCTGCTTTTAGTGCTCAGCACAACGTTCTGTGGTACAGAGCTTGTCCTTGGCTGCTCCCTTTGTGTCATCACTCACGGCTGTGTCCCTAAGCCACCACTTTCCCACTCACTGGCAGGCAGAAGGAGAAAGAGGGAAGGCCTGGGTGCTGTGCTAGCACAACTCAGCCATAGCTAAAGCACCTGTGTGCTCTCAGCACTGGCTGGGACACACATCTAAACCAGAGCACTACATCACTGGCTAGGAACAGAAATTAGCTCCATCCCAACCAGAATCAGTGCAGAGCCCCAGGCCTGTGGCAAGTCCCAGACTGGCCAAAGGCAGCGGGAAGGGAGGTCCAAGTGCCCCCCAAAATATGCCATGAGGGTATGGTTCTGGGAAGGAAGGGTGTGAGAGAAGGAAGGCATGAAGAGAGGAAGGAAGGCATGAAGAGAGGCTGGAAGGCAGGAAGGCAGGAAGGAAGGAAGGAAGGAAGGAAGGCAGGCAAGAAGCAAGGAGGGAGGAAGCAATAAGAGTTGGGAGGAGCAGGCAGAATCAAGGGCAGGATGGAGCCGTACCGGGGTGTGAGGAGCTCATCCCTGTTGAGGACACAGTTGAGGAGGGAGAAGAAGCAGTTGAAGGCAGGGGGCTGGTTTTGGCTGTGGAGGGTGCGGAAGACTCTGTGGTAGGCAACTCTTTTGGAGCAGCAGTTCTCGTGGCAGAAGGCTTGGTCCTTAGGGTTGTAGGTGTAGGCTTGGGGCTGGAGGTTGTGGCCGCTGTGGAGGAGAGCGTGGAAGTGGCGGGAGATGTCAGGCGGGTGCTGAGCGGGCTGCTGGGGGCAGGCGGAGAGCTGGGGCTTGGAGCCGTCGTTGTGAGAGGAACTTCTGTGCTGGTGGCGGGGCTGGCCTCTCTGGAGACAGAGGTCTTGGAGGTGCTGGTGGCGGAGGTGGCGGCGCTGGTCTTCTGCGTGGTCAGAGGTGGTGCGATGTGTGGCACAGTTGTCTCTTTGTGTGTGAAGGCTGCCGGAGGAAAGCACAGGTTGACTGAGGGTGTTTAGGCCAAGCGGGGAAGGCAAAGGAGGTGGGCAGAAGCCCTGGCCTTGGGCCTGGGGCATAAAAATCAAAAGAAGCAGCCACGAATCACACTGAGTCTCACTGAATGACAGAGAGCATTGGGATTGTGACTGCTTCCCTAAGCCGCCCTGTTCTACCAAGAATCTCTCAGAGCTATTGCGTGTGTCAGTGGGCAGTGGGGTGGCCCTGTGTGGACACTCAGCTCCCACAACGCCCCTCGCTGGTCTGCTCTTGCCTCAGCAGGAAGGGGGAGGGAACCAGAAGTGCAAAAGCCAAAGAAATCCGACATGACAGGAGAGACATCTTCCAGAGGTGAAGAAATGCAAGGGAAAAAAACCAAAAGCCACACATGAGATGCAAAAGAAGTCCCTCCCCACCTTCTACCGGTGGCCAATGCCCAGACGTTCTGTGAGCTACTTGGGAGAAATTCCTCACGGCTTTCTCCTGTTTTGCTGCTAAAAATGTCATTCTGTGGTACAGAGCATGTCCTTGGTCGCTCCCTTTGAGTCACTCTCCTGGCTGTCTCCCTGAGCCATCCCTTGCCCACTCGCGGACAGGCAGAAGGAGAGAGAGGGAAGGCCTGGATGCTGTGCTAGCACAACTCAGCCATAGCTAAAGCACCTGTGTGCTCTCAGCACTGTCTGGGGAACACATCTAAAGCACAGAACGGGGAGAGTTTCTAGGAGTAGAAATTAGGTACTTCCCAACCAGAAGCAGTGCAGAGCCCCAGGACTGCGGCAGGTCCTAGACTGGCCAAAGGTAGCGGGAAGGGAGGGCCAAGTGCCCCACAAAATATGCCATGAGTTTATGATTCTGGGCAGGAAGGGCTTGAGAGAAGGAACGCATGAAGTGTGGAAGGAAGGAAGGAAGCAAGCAAGCAAGCAAGCAAGCAATGGTAAGAGTTGGGAAGAGCAGACAGAAGCAGGAGGAAGGGCAGGAGGGATCCGTACCGGGGTGTGAGGAGCTCATCCATGTTGAGGACACAGTTGAGGAGGGAGAAGAAGCAGTTGAAGGCAGGGGGCTGGTTTTGGCTGTGGAGGGTGCGGAAGACTCTGTGGCAGGCAACTCTTTTGGAGCAGCGGTTCTTGTGGCAGAAGGCTTGGTCCTTAGGGCTGTAGGTGTAGGCTTGGGGCTGGAGGTTGTGGCCGTTGTGGAGGAGAGCGTGGAAGTGGCGGGAGATGTCAGGCGGGTGCTGAGCGGGCTGCTGGGGGCAGGCGGAGAGCTGGGGCTTGGAGCCGTCGTTGTGAGAGGGACTTCTGTGCTGGTGGCGGGGCTGGCCTCTCTGGAGACAGAGGTCTTGGAGGTGCTGGTGGCGGAGGT